AAATAATAATATATATTTTAGTACATTATGTCATTAATAATGAAAATTAATTAACACAATGCAAATTATTATATATTAATATACATTAATAATGTATAGTCATTGTATTCTAATCATTACAATATTAACCATATGTAATTAATCATATCTATAATTATAATAATTGTACACATATTTAAAGAACAATTTCAAAGTATGTAGTATATAATGAATGTTTTTGTATGAACGTTATAACGTAATCGTTAATTGTTCAACGTTTAATAAACTGTAGATTATGCGTTTGTAGAAAATTTTCAGATATAGAATTGACATATTTGAGTAATTAGCACAGAATTTGTATAGGACGTAATATAATATACATAATATACTATAATTATATACTATACGTAATATACTATAATTATATAATTATATTATCATATGCTACAATATATAATAAATTGTGTGTTAATAATTACAATAATTATTTCTGTAGTTTGTACAATTATATTGCGGAGTTCTATGAGTTTGTTAATATAAATCCACGCAAAAGTGATTTTTTTCGAAATTCCTCCCTTACAAATTTTTATGTAATTATCGATACGTATTTGGAAGTAGAAAGCATTCGAGAAAGTATGATTTATTGCGTAGTGTGAATCATCATATTATCGAGATAAGCCCGCTTTTAGAGTCAGGTTTCCTTCAAATTTGAAGGAGAAAAGAATGTGGTAAAGTCGAGTTCATGAAAGTTGATGCATTGAATTCATTTTAATTCTAATCAATCTATTGAACGAGACTCATTATTTCTCGTGAATGAATTCTAATGGGAATTCGTATTATTATTTTGGCAAAAGAAATAATATAAAAAGATATGTTTATCAATTTCTTAAAATAAAGGATGAGGGAGGAAATACAGCTGGCACAAAATTTAAAAAAATGAGATTTTCATTAGTTTCGGCATCTCTTGGTGTCTAGAACAAATTGTTCCTTAATTCGTGAGTTTGTAATTCATGGGAAAATAAGAAATTAGCAATGTTAGTTTACATTGAAGATTCTATTGCGACATTACTTTTAATGAAGATTACTTGCTGCGCTACCATTCGTTACCCAATTATCCTCAACAAGCAAAATGGTCAAAATGACTAATTTATAAATTTCTATAAAAATTTCACACAGTTTAAAAACAGTGACTTTTAGTAAAAGAGAAATTTTTAAAAATTTTAATAAAAATATGCGCTTTATATTTCTCCGCTGCAAATTTTACACCCTATTCGTTGGTGTAGCTTTAGTGTTAAACGAAGAATAAATAAATAACCAATGGACATATAAATAAATAAAAAATAAATACATAAATAACCAAAATAAATGGAGAAATAAATAGAAAGACGGTTCGATTATTGAACGTTGTGTTCGTCGCGATGCCACGATCCACGATTTGCAATTCAATGATCGTTACACATAATCACGATAGACTTGCTTAGTGTTGCAACAGTAAGTAGGCCGTCGTTCTGTATGACCAACTCTTTACCGTAACATCACTCGATGACGTCGAAAATGATTCCCCGAATACAGGACATCGCGTTCACCGCGAACGTGACACGCGCCACGTAATTTACTATCCGGTTAAACTCATCGAGGCACATTTTCTATTTTCACAGACTGTTCTCGAACCATTGGTTTGGTTTCTCGAGTCAAATATTTAACAATCTTTGATTCCGAGCTGACACAGAAGTTCGAAACGTTAAATTAACCTCTTTCTTTTTCTGTGAAAATATGATGCGAAATATATTTAGAGGGGAAAAATGGCGGCTGAGACGGAAGGCTTCATTCTGGATTGAAATAGGAAAAAATTGAAAGGCCAATGGAAGTTTTAGATAATATAGTATAGATTATGTAATATAATATTAAATATTTAGTTTTAAATGTATATCTTATATTATATTACTATAGTATGGGTAACATAGTATAGATTATATAATATAATATTACTACGGTTACATTACTATAGTATAGATAATGTAGTATAGGTTATATAATATAATATTAAATATTTAGTTTTAAATATATATCTTATATTATATTACTATAGTA